GTGGCCTCCATGGGAGGGAGGGGCTGCAGAGAGTGAAGTGCTGTAGAAGGCAAGGAAGGAAATGGAAGAAGCATTTAGGGAAATGATGAGGGTTTTGAAGAGTTTACTATGGGATGGGGCACGTGCATGCAAAGGGAGAAGTTGATGAGATAAAGGAGTAGAGTCAGAGGGAAAGCTGGAATTGAAAAGTGTGAGGAGGATGGGCGCATGAGCGGTGACCAGGGAGGCCAAGAATGATGGCTGACACTTGCTAGCTGTGTGCTGGGCCTTGCACTTGGTTGTGCACTTGGTTGTGCACTTGGGGATTTGCCTCAGCCCTCACTCCCCTAATGCTTGTTGATTCCCTCCTATATTAACCAGGTGTTGTGCCAGGTGCTAGAGACAGAACGCATACACATTCTCAGCTCTTAGAGTGCTTATGGTCTAGTGGGAAAGGAAGTTCCAACTGACTTGTGATGCACATGTTATGGCAGAAGAAAGACAGCCTGCTTGGAGAGTATAGGCAGGTGGGAGGCACAGAGGAATGGTCTGTTTGCAGGGACTCAAATGCTGGGGTCCACCTGTGGAGCCTTGGCAAGGGGTTGGTGGACTTGGGGCTGAGGCCCATAAGCTTCAGAACCATGGGGTTCATGTTTGATGAATCTGCATCAGGATTTCTGTCTGAATGGTATTAGGTCAGGAAAGTGGTGAGGTCCACCTTTATGCAGATTCTTAGTGGTCACCAGTGGCAGGAGAGATTTAACCCCTAAAATACATGGTAGGGTTAGAGCTGTCCTCAACTTGGTGCCTTCACAAACTTTGCAAGGGTTGTTGGCATCATTCAATTTCATGTACCAGTGATTCAAACTTGAGTTTTCTTTTTGGGACTTAGGAAAACTTATTTCTGTTTGGATGGGTGCATTAGGGAGAAGCAGGGGAGGAATAAGAAACCCATCCTGAGTTTTCCCACAAGCATTCCCAATGAAGAAAAATGAGGGCTTCACACTGGGAAAAGCTCCCACTTTGGAAGGGACAATGTGTAAACTCAAAGTGCTTTATCTGTCAACTCTGAGGAGAGTTTCCTGACTGTATTTTCAGGGGGCTCAGCACAAGAGTGGGGGCACAGTCCACTCACTTGGACATCACCTACCCTGTCCTCATCACCAGAAGAGGTTGGGGCCCCATTGGTCAAGCAACTTGGCAGCACCTACCTGTTTTAATTAAAATTTGTATCATAGTATTTAAGCTAAGATATAATGCTTTTCTTAACGTGTTAACCCATCTTTCATTCTGAGTTTTTTGGGTTCTTGGTTTTTCTGCAGTACCACGGTCCAGAAGAAAGATGATAGATTTGAATTCAGGAGGCCTACATTATAATTCCAGCTCTGAACATGTGAGCCTTCTGACCTAGCATGCATCTCCCAATCACCCTAATCCTTGCTTTTTCATCTGTAAAATGGGGATAAAACAGTATCTACCTCCCAGAGTTGACATGAGGATTAAATGAAGGAATGCATGTGAAATTTCTAGCATAGTACCTGGCACATCATGAGGGCTTAAATCACGCTACCTCTTCGTATTGTGATTTTCATTATTGTATGACCATAGAGCCATTATTATTATTAGTAGTAGTAGTACTATATTAGAAATTCAATTTAGATCTTTAATATAAGAATTTGATAAATCTCTCTCTTCCCCTCCTTCCTCCTCCCTCCCTTCCTCTCCTTCCTCTCCTCTCCCTCCCCTTCTCTCTCCACAGACAGGAAGTAGTCACTTTGTAAAACACTTGCAGTTCACCAGCTGGCCAGACCATGGCACTCCTGCCTCGGTAGATGGCTTCATAAAGTACGTGCGTTATGTGAGGAAGAGCCACCTTACAGGACCTATGCTTGTTCACTGCAGTGCTGGCGTGGGCCGGACGGGGGTGTTCCTATGTGTGGATGTTGTGTTCTGTGCCATTGAAAAGAACTTTCCAGTAAGTGTGTGAATTAAACAGATAACTGATGCTGTTAGTAAACACTCTACTTGTAACAGCCTTCTAGGGCCTGGAGACTAAGATTTGGCCTTCAGGAGAACTCAGTAAAGAGAAAGCCCATGAACTTTGGGGACCTGCTTCTAAATTCAGTGCCGCAGGTTCCTGGAGGTGGCCATGATGCTCACAGCACAGAAAGCACAAGAAGGATATGGGACAGTGTTGGGGACACAGTAGATGCACAGTGGATGCTACTTCATTTCCCTTTCCTTCCCTCTACCCATACATAGAGGTTTTTAAATCTGGTTAAAGAATGTTGAAGTATGCCTGTTTTTAATGAACAGAAATGCATGCACATGAGCACGTTGGAAAAAAATGTAGACTTTAGAGTTTTAATGAGAGGTCCCTAGCTTGGACTGCCAGTTTTGCCTCATACTTTAGATTTTGGTGACTTTGTGCGCATTGCTCATCCTCTCTGAAACCCAGTTTTCTCTTGTGTAAAATAAGGATAATAATACTGTTGGGTTTGAGTCCCTCATTAACAATTCTTTGCTTTCCTTCTAAAATTGGAACCAGCTGAGAGATAGACCCAAGAATTAGACACATATTAATTATACCATTACCTTTACTGTTGATTAAACTGCTTAGGGAACATGACCTGAGATTTGTGGCCAGAAAGGCTGACTCACTGAACTGTTTTTCCTGCGCTGCGGAAGTGCAAAGGGGAAGACATCTGTTTATTAGCAGGCATGAGGGGGCTTGGGGGGGCTGGCTCTTACTACCATGCCATGACCACAAGGAATGCAAAAAACCACACCTCCCCATGAGAAAGCCTGCTATCAGGCATTTGCCTTGCCAGGCAAATTCTGCAGTTAGATTATCATCACAACAACTAAATCTCTGCTCTCTTGGGCCTTCCCCAGTTAAACCCTAACAGTGGGAGGCTCTCTCCCATGGCAGCAGAATGGCTGTTTTGGTTCCAGAACTCACCATCCTCAGGCCATATTATATGAGACGGTGGGAAAATGGCTTCTCCCCATAACTCCTTGGAGGACAGAGGAAATTTCTTTTTGTCAGAAACTTGAGCCAGTATCTCCCAGCATTTCAACTCTTTCTGAGTTGTAGCCCCTTTCCTGAACTAATCACTGTAGGAGATGCTGGTCTATTTAGGCCAGTCAGGACTACTCCAGGCCATAAGGCTGAGTGAGAGAGGAATGGTTTTCCAAAGCAAACTCAGAGAATGAATGAATATAAACTGGAGAGTGCCCCCCACCCTCCCAAAAAAGACCAATGTGCTGAAAAGTGCTGAAAATTTAAGTAGTATAAGTCTGATATTACCCATTCCCATAACTAATGTTGTTTGATCCTTTTAGCAGAAATTTGTTAGTATAATTTTCTTTTATATATTCCCCATCATAATTTCTTAACTAATTGGCTTATGTTTGTCCTTATTTTATTTTCCTTGTAGAAACTGTAAAAACTGTAAATATTATACTTCATGATCCTAAGAAGCACTGTTTTCTCCCACATTATACCTTCTTTAAACTCGGAATGTGTTTTACTATGAGTCACGTTTAATTGACAGTGTTTTTCTTAGTGGTACATAAAATAATGATGCATTTTGCAATTAAGGATGCTTAGATTTGAGAGAGTAATTCAAAAATAGAAAACACATCCATTGTTTCCTTATTGGCTTTTCACAGAACCTTGAACTGTCTAGTGTTCTTACTGATGCCCCTTTCTACTCTTTTCAGAAATTTTGTCCACCAGAGCTACTAAATGTGGTCTTAAACCGGCCCCAATCTGTGGATGTCTGTCATCTACAGTAAGAGAAGTTCCTAGAAATTGAGAGTAAGCATTTAGAAACTTCCAAAGCAGTTTGCTGTATTGCTGTGACATCCAAGAGCATGACCAATGAGTGGTTGGTCTTGATGAGCAGGGTGCAGACCAGTTTGTGTGCTGTGGAGCTAACATGGGGGGGTTGTATGTCAGTGGGCTGCATATGCCAGCCATGTGCGGCTGGACAGTCGTCACCTGCAATGCTCTGAGATTCCTTGATCAATTCTAACTCTAAAGGATATGAAAAGCTGAGGATATGTAACCATTTATTTCTTTTTTAATTGTTATTTTTATAGTCATTTTCATTTTTAATCACTCCTGCTTAAAAACCCGTAAAATGTTGGGAGCAAACTGGCTCTCACCTTGCAGAAGCACTGAGATTGCTCTGTACTTTAGACATTCTCAATCGACCTTTCTCCTCTAACAGTCTTTGGTGCACAAGAACAGCTGTTCATTATCAGTTAATCATATTATCACATACTAAAGTGAGTAATCCAGAATTTAGCACATTAGCCTTTACATAATTAAAAATTCTTACTACACCACTATGCACACTGTCAAGTTTACCTGGCAGGGTTTTGTTTTTTTTGTTTGTTTTTGTTTTCATCCTTTGTAGTAAGATTCTCTTTTTTTTTTAAGATTTTATTTATTCATTTGAGACACAGAGATAGAGAGAGAGCACGAGCAGGGGGAGAGGCAGAGGGAGAGGGAGAAGCAGGCTCCCCACCAAGCCAGGAGCCTGACGTGGGACTCGATCCCAGGATCCTGGGATCATGACCTGAGCCGAAGCTTAACCGACTGAGCCACCCAAGCGCCCCTGTAGTAAGATTGTCTTGATGAAGCAGTGTGATTTATCTTTGGGCACAAATTCCTCAATCTGTGTAATACCTCAGATGGCTTTCTTGTCCTTGCAGCTCTGCTACCAGAACATAATCCTACACAAAGCCCAAGCTCCAAATCACATTTGGTGACAATGTAATACTTTGCATTTCTGCACAGTTTAGAGCTAGTTGTTTGTCAGTAATCAAACAGAAAAAAGGAAGAATTCTTCCTTCTTGACATATCATGTTCAAATAACACACATGCTGAGTCACTGTTAGCAATATCTCCATATTCATTAAGTTGCAGTGATGAATGCGTTGATACGTTTATTTGCTTCATAAGTTGGTACCACTTCATATCATTAGCCAGTCCCCGAATTTGTCAAGCTGTTGTGTCATTAGAAAATGGTACTTTCCGTGGGCCTCTCCTAGTGAACCTACTATAGGAGCCTGCAGCCCTGAACCATTGCCCAGCCTTCCTGCAGGTGGGCTGTGAGCACTGAAGGGGGCTGTACAGTGTAGGGGGAAAAAAGAAAAGAAAAGAAAACAGTACTTTAACTGTCCTTTCTGCCACATATTTACCCAGATTTTCCAAAACATCTTCAGTAGTCTTTCATCGTTGTCCTGGTAATTGTATATGGGTTTTTAGTCTCAGCAATTCAAGTGCTATTTTGTAAGTCTGCAGAACATTAATGTTACATGTGAAAAATAATGAACATCAGCTTCTGTTTTTAAATTTAATATTCTTTTAAATAATTCTTTTGTCTTTGAACTTATTTTTTTTGTAAATGACAAGTAAATTTTCATAGTTCCTTTGCTTTATTAGCCAGTACATCTTTGCAATTAAAACAGGTGTGGTTTTAGCAATTCACAATCAATAATGGCTATAAGATTCAATACATAAGGAATCATGGTTCCAAGTAAAATGAACATGAACTCTTTTTGCCTTCATTTCTTTGCAGTCATTTCCATTATCATCATTGGGTTAACCACTACAGCTACATTCAGAAAGTGTGTTTTTCTTGACAAGACAGTCCACTGAAACTTGTTTTGCCATCATTAAATTAAGATGAAAAATGAATAATACAAAATTCATTTCCATAAGTTGCCTAATCTTAAATTATAAGTGAAAAAACAGGCTTTCAAAGAAGTAACAGTCTTTAAATTCAGTGAGATTTCATTTCATTAATATTTCCTCTTATGGATCATGCTTTTGATTTCAAGTCTAAGAACTCCTTGCCTAGCCTAGGTCCCAAATAATTTTTGCTACATTGTTTTCTAAACATTCTGTGTTCTAAAATGATTTATATTTAAGTCCATAATCCATTTTGAGTTAATTTTTGTATAAGGTATGAAGTTTAAATCAAGGTTACTTTTCCTTTATTTTTATTTTTTGCCTATAGATGTCTAATTTTCTAGCACCATTTGTTGAAAAGCTATTCTGCCTCCACCAAATTGCTTTGCACCTTTGTCAAAAATCACTGGGCATGTTTGTATGAGCCATTTTCTGGTTCTGTATTCTGTTCCATTGATCTGTGTGTCTATCCTTCTGCCAGTACCACTCTATAGATTCCTGTATCTATATATAACATCAGGAAGAGTGATTCCTTTATTCTTTTTCAAAATTGTTTTAACTCTTACAGGGTCTGTGCTTTCCCACATAAATTTTAGAATTAGCTTGTCTGTGTCTACCAAAAAGCTTGCAGGGATTTTGATAGGAATTGCTTTAAATATGTAGATCAATTTGGGGAGAACATCATGACATCTTTGCTATGTTGAATCCTCCAATCCATGAACATGGTATGTCTTTCCATTTATTTAGGTCTTCTTTAATTTCATTCATCAGCATTTTGTCATTTTCAGCATATAGATCCTATATGTGTTTTTTTAGATTTATCCTATTTCATTTTCTTTGGAGCAATTGTAAATGGTATTGTGTTTTTACTATCAGCTACCACATGTTCATTGTTAGTATGTAGAAATGTGACTGATTTTTGTGTGTTGATCTTGTATGCTGTGATTTTATTGAACTCACTTACTAGTTCTAACAGGTTTTTTTGGGGGGAGGATTCTATTTTCTTCTGTTTTTGGATTCCTGGGATTTTCTGTGTAGACAATCATTCTAGTTACAAATAGGGATAGATTTATCTCTTCCTTTCCAACCTGTATGCCTCTTATATGTTTTTCTTTTTTATTGTTATGTTAATAACCATACATTACATCATTAGTTTTTGAGGTAGTGTTCCATGATTCATTGTCTGTGCATAACACCCAGTTCTCCACGCAGAATGTGCCCCCTTTAATACCCATCACCAGGCTAACCCATCCCCCCACCTTCCTCCCCTCTAGAACCCTCAGTTTGTTTTTCAGAGTCCATCATCTCTCATGGTTCGCCTCCCCCTCCGACTTACTCCCCTTCATTCTTCCCCTCCTGCTATCTTCTTCTTTTTCTTTTTTCTTAACATATGTTGCATTATTTGTTTCAGAAGTACAGATCTGTGGTTCAACAGTCTTGCACAATTCACAGCGCTCACCATAGCACATACCCTCCCCAATGTCTATCACCCAGCCACCCCATCCCTCCCACCCCCCCACCACTCCAGCAACCCTCAGTTTGTTTCCTGAGATTAAGAATTCCTCATACCAGTGAGGTCATATGATACATGTCTTTCTCTGATTGACTTATTTCACTCAGCATAACACCCTCCAGTTCCATCCACGTCATTGCAAATGGCAAGATCTCGTTCCTTTGATGGCTGCATAATATTCCATTGTGTCTAGGCTGTGAGCGTTTGGCTCCAGGTGGGCGCACGCGCGCGAGAGAGAGCACGAGTGAGCACAAGCAGGGGGAGCAGCAAGCAGAGGGAGAGGGAGAAGCAGACTCCCCACGGAGCAGGGAGCTCGACATGGGGCTCAGTCGCAGAACCCCGGGATCATGACCCAAGCTGAAGGCAGGTCATGATGTCTCAAGAGACGGATGGGGAGCGTCAGCAGTCCCATGGCAGTGGCTCCTGTACCCAGTCCCAAGGTGGCTTCTCGCAGTCTCAAGGCACCTCCTCCCAGACACACAGCTCCTCACACTCTCCAGTCACGTCCAGCTCCACCAGCACAGCACCCACATCCAGCCAGTCCTCTCACTCCAGCTCGGGAACGCTGAACTCCTTAGACAGTGTCCACCCAGGAACTCTGTTCTATTCCTGAGGACCAGGAGCCCGAGGAGCCTGTCCCTGCCCCTTGGGCTCGATTATGGGCCCTTCAGGATGGATTCCCCAATCTTGAGTGTGTTAATGACAACTACTGGTTTGGGAGAGATAGAAGCTGTGAATACTGCTTTGATGAGCCACTGCTAAAAAGAACGGATAAATACCGGAATTATAGCAAGAAGCACTTTCGGATTTTCAGAGAAATGGGTCCTAAAAACTCTTATATCGCATACATAGAAGATCACAGTGGGAATGGAACCTTTGTAAATAGAGAGCTGGTAGGGAAAGGAAGACGCCTTCCTTTGAGTAACAATTCTGAAATTGTACTTTCAGTATGGAGTAATAAAGTTTTTGTATTTTTTGATCTGACTGTAGATGATCAATTTATCCTAGGGAATTAAAGAGACCAATACATCATGTCAAAAACTCTCGTAAGTGGTGCCTGTGGTGAGGTGAAGCTAGCTTTTGAGAGGAAAACATGTAAGAAAGTAGTCATAAAAATCATCAGCAAAAGGAATTTTGCTATTGGCTCTGAGAGAGATGCAGATCCAGTTCCCGATGTTAAAACAGAAATACATATTTTGAAAAAACTAAATCATCCTTGTATCATCAAGATTAAAGACTTTTTTGATGCTGAAGATTATTATATTGTTTTGGAATTGATGGAAGGAGGAGAGCTCTTTGACAGGGTGGTGGGGAATAAGTGCCTGAAAGAAGCTACATGCAAACTCTATTTTTACCAGATGGTCCTGGCTGTACAGTACCTTCACGAAAATGGTATTATACATCGGGACTTAAAGCCAGAGAATGTTCTACTCTCATCTCAAAAAGAGGACTGTCTTATAAAGATTACTGATTTTGGGCAGTCTAAGATTTTGGGGGAGACCTCTCTCATGAGAACCTTATGTGGGACTCCCACCTACCTGGCTCCTGGGGTTCTTAATTCCTTTGGGACTGCTGGATATGATCGAGCTGTGGATTGCTGGAGTTTAGCAGTGATTCTTTTTATCTGCCTTAGTGGGTATCCACCTTTCTCTGAGCATAAAACTCAAGTGTCTTTGAAGGATCAGATCACCAGTGGAAAATTCAATTTCATTTCTGAAGTCTGGGCAGAGGTCTCAGAAAAGGCTCCGGACCTTGTCAAGAAGTTGTTGATAGTGGATCCAAAGGTGCATTTTACGACAGAAGAAGCTTTAAGACACCCATGGCTTCAGGATGAGGACATGAAGAGAAAATTTCAGAATTTACTTTGTGAAGAAAATAAGTCAACGGCTCTACACCAAGTCCCGGCCCAGCCTTCCACAAGTCAAAAGAGGCTTCTTGAAGGGGAAGCAGAGGATGCTGACACTACAAAGGGTCTGGCTGTGTGTGCTGCTGTGTCGTGAACTTTGATTGAACATGAAAGAAACCTGCCTTCTTGAACCTGCTGCCATTTTCTTTAAATCTGTTTTTTATAGTTTATTTTAATTGTGGGGACAGTTGCTTTTTCATGATCATCAATACACAATTCCAAACCTAAAAAATATATATATATGTTCCATTGTGTCTATATACCACCTCTTCTTTATCCATTCATCTGTCGATGGACATCTTGGCTCTTTCCACAGTTCGGCTATTGTGGACATTGCTGCTATAAACATTGGGTGCCCATACCCCTTCGGATCCCTACATTTGATTCTTTGTGGTAAATACCCAGTAGTGCAATTGCTGGATCGTATGGTAGTCCTATTTTCAACTGTTTGAGGAACCTCCATACTGTTTTCCACAGGAGTTGCACCAGCTTGCATTCCCACCAGCAGTGTAGGAGGGTTCCCCTTTCTCCGCATCCCCGCCAACATCCGTCGTTTCCTGACTTGTTAATTTTAGCCATTCTGACTGGTGTGAGGTGGTATCTCATTGAGGTTTTGATTTGGATTTCCCTGATGCCGAGCGATGTGGAGCACTTTTTCATGTGTCTGTTGGCCATTTGGATGTCTTCTTTGGAAAAATGTCTGTTCATGTCTTCTGCCCATGTCTTGATTGGATTATTTGTTCTTTGGGTGTTGAGTTTCATAAGTTCTTTATAGATTTTGGATACTAGCCCTTTATCTGATATTCATTTGCAAATATTTTCTCCCATTCTGTCGGTTGTCTTTTGGTTTTGTTGACTGTTTCTTTTGCTGTGCAAAAGCTTTTTATCTTGATGAAATCCCAATAGCTCATTTTTGCCCTTGCTTCCCCTGCCTTTGGCGATGTTTCTAGGAAGAAGTTGCTGCAGCTGAGGTCAAAGAGGTTGCTGCCTCTGTTCTCCTTTAGGATTTTGATGGACTCCTGTCT